CTCGACAAGCCTCCCTTTATTTCCACATGCATATCCCCACTTCGCCCCACATCCTCAGAGGAGCCAAGTTCTTCCAAGCTCCTGGCCAAACCACCGCTGCCCTGGGCTGGTCCCCGCCACCCTACCCCACCCCGCACCCAGTGTACCTGGGGCAGCTCTGAGCCCCGCCCACTCCTGGCCACAGGTCCCCCCTCCAACTGGCTCCCCCACAGTCGCTGGCCTGCTTGCAGCCCCCAGGCCTGTCCTCCCTCTGGCCTCTTTGGTGGCACCTGTATGGTTATCCACCCCAAGCCCCTTTCACACCTGCATCCCGTTCCTGCTACTTCCAGGCCCTTCTGTGCCTCGAGCTGCAGCCTGACAGGAAGGCCGAGCTTTGCGCTGGACGTGCAGCATCCCCAGGGTCTGTGTGACATGGTCTTTCACCCGCCAGTGTCTGGGTGAGAGACCACCCTCCCCTTCCCCTCCCAGGCATAATCGAGAAGCGAGACTCTAAGCCCCTGCTGGACATCTTAGAGGTGGTAGGAGGCTGGCCGGTGGCTGTGGACAGTTGGAACAATACTGTAGGTAAGGCCAGGGCCTGGGGCAGCTTGCACAGACAGGGGGACCCTGAGCCTGGGGCTGGGGACTTTGCACCAGAGGTGGGAAGGCTCCCTGTGGCTGGTCCCTTCCAGCTCTGAAGAGGGGCATCCCTTCCAGATCCCTAAGAAAGACTTGTCTTCTAGGCCAAGGCCTGGGGACCCAGGGCTCCCAGCTCTGGACGTGGGCTCTGCCCTCTGCACTCTGGTTCAGCCCAGGTTGGGGGGCAGGCATGGGGCACACGCAGGGCTGGCAGCCCCCAGCACACACTGCTCCTGGGGCCCTGTGGTGCCCTGTGGACTATGGGGAAGTGTGTCTCCCATGTCTCCCAGCCCCTGAGACCCACAGGTGAGCCGTGCAGGGGTCCCCTACCTGCCCCTCGAGGTCTGGACTTAGGAGGCCAGGGTCCACGGTGTGACAAGGAGCTGGGCTGGGATCTCAGGGCCCCAACTGTCTCCAGCGTGGGGCACTGATTCCCCAGGCCACAGCTGGCAGCTGGAGCGGCAGCTGGCGGTGCTGAACTCCGAGTTCAACAAGCGCATCCTCATCGACCTCTTCATCTGGAATGACGACCAGAACTCCAGCAGGCACATCATCTATGTACGAGCCATACGGGGCCTGGGGGCCGGCGGGCGGGGGGTCCCCATGCCTGGCTGGGGCTCTCGCAGCACAGGGAGATGGCCAGGGGCAGGGCCATACCAGCAGCTGGGCCCCGGGTGTGTCCCCAGGGCTCTGCTCTGGTCTCCGCTCTCAGTTTGGGGGACTGGCTGCCGATGACCCACGTCCTAATCAGAGGCCCACAAGCTGAGCTGGTTCTCAGGACCAGCTGTTCAGCCATTTGGCACCTGGGCAGGGAGCCTGACCTTAAGAAGCCACAACCAGAGGGCAAAAAGAGCCCGTGCAATCCTTAGACACCCCGCAGTCCAGCCTGGGAGCCCTCCGCCTGTTGCTCAGCGAGCAGGGCTCAGGCACCAGGGCACCTGCATGCACCCCCATGGTCCCCATTCTGGGTCCTGGGGGTAGAGGAGAGGGCTGGTGCCTGCCTCGGCCAGGCTGTGGGGACCCCCGGCACCTGGCCCTGGTTCACACCCTCTGTGTCTCCAGATAGACCAGCCCACCTTGGGCATGCCATCCCGCGAGTACTATTTCCAGGAGCACAGCAACCAGAAGGTGAGTCCGGGCCAGGCCTCGTGCCCAGGACCCTTACTGCAGGCCCCTCGCATCTGGGCCCCTCCTCCCATCCCTTCAGGGCCCACCTGGGGCCCAGCTCCCCTGGGTGTCCCCTGTCCACTTGGCCCTTTCCCCCACAGCTAGCTTTTGTGAGCACGTGAGTGGGTGGAGCCTGGAGCTGTGGGCTGGGGACGAGCTTTGTCACCTTCATAGGGAGTGTCCCTAAACCCTTGGGGATAAGCCCAGCTCAGCCCAGCAGCCTCCAGGGGCACACCCATCACACCACTAGTTTCCTGCAAGGGGCCCATAGAGACCTGAATGCAGGCTCAGACCCCAGGATGCTCCCTTGGCCACGCTGCTCCCCCACCCACAGGATCCAAAGAGCAAAACAGTGGCAGAGAGGCAGGACCAGGGCCAGCCGGGGGCAGGGAGAGGCGGGAAGGAAGGGCAGGAGGTGTGAGTGACCCACAGCAGGCAGAGGGGCCACAAGCTAGGGTTTAGGCAGGGCACACGTCCTCAGGGCCCAATTCCTGATCTCCTGGCTAGGCAGCCTGGCTAGGGCAGCCCACTCTTAACCCTGGCACCCGACAGCCCTGCATGGCCCTGGACCTTTCCTGAACACCTGCAGAGTGCCAGCCAGGCAGCCCAGCAGAATAGGCCCCTGTGTCCCGTGGAAGCTCAGGGACAGGGGCAAGCTGGAAGGGACAGGATGGGGCTCCCAGCCCTGAGCTGTCTGGGCCTGGCCAGGTCCTGTGGCCCAGGATCAGGTCTGGGAAGCAGGCATGTCCACCCCTGGGCAGGCATATTGTGGAGTGTGAGCTACAGCTGAGGGCCTGGCCGTCTGTGGTGCTCCTTGGGACCTGCTGTAACCTGCTGGCCCAGGAGGGCAGACAAGCACCCTGGGGACCTGCTCCGTGTCATACACCCACCCCCACCCCACAGAGAGCTCCAGGGGGGCCAAGGTGGCCAGGTGGCCCGACCCCATCCTGCATCCTTTGGCCCAGGTGCGTGATGCCTACCTGCAGTTCATGGTGTCGGTGGCCACGATGCTGCGGGGGGACATGAACCTCCCCAGGAACAGCCACCTGGTGCAGGAGGACATGGTGCAGGTGCTGAAGCTGGAGATGCAGCTGGCAAACGTGAGGCCAAGCCCACAGGTGGAAGATGGGGGAGGGTACACCTGGGCCCTGGCCACCACCCCTTCTCACCACCCGGCGCCCACCCCAACCCCGATGCAGGCCACAGCCCCCCAGGAGGAGAGGCATGACGTCACTACCCTGTACCACAGGATGGGGGTGCAGGAGCTCCAGACCAAGTTTGGTCTGAATGTAAGTCCACGTGGTGGGGGAGGGGGACCATGTGGTGCCGGCCTGGGTGGGAGGAGACTGCCCAGGGGACAGACCCTGACCCCAGCCCTCCCGGTTTCCTGCCTCTCTCATTGAAGCCTCAGAACTCCTCCCAACCCTGAGCAGGGGGCCCAGGAACTGGTCACCGAAACAGCGACATTTTCCCACTGGGACAACCGGTGTCCACTGGGCTGTTTGGGAACAGGNAGCCGTCGAAGAGCCCCAGAAGGACCAGGCGTGCACCAGCGCCGGCTGTGTGATAGCAGGTAAGCCCCTTCCCCCACGCCTCCTGCCCCGGCCCGCGGGGGGCGGGGGCTGCCGGCGATGCTGGCACAGGCCCTGCTCAGGCCAGGGAGGCAGCCTGGAGACTGGCACTGGGCCGAGGGTACACACGGGCCCAGCGATGGGACTCCGTGTTGGGCAGAGGAAGCTGGTTCTGCTCCCCCTTCTCACCTCCCCGGGCCCCGTCCCGGCAGCGCCCCCCCTCCCGCTCAGGCCCCTGGCCTCACGGGACTCGAGGGGCAATTCTTTGCATTTACGGAAAGAAAAGCCACACGAACGTACACCCTCAATCACGTTTTCTCCCAGCAATTGGTCTTAAAACTGGGGTCAGGTGCTGCTAGTTGCAGATAAACACCAGTGAAAACGGTGTGAGGAATCACTAGTGGAATCGCTGGGGTCGGGAGGGCTCCAGCTGCTGCTCCCCTCGGGGCCCAACCAACGGCGGGTCCTGGCGGAGCCCAACCCAGCCACCTCTGCTGACGGGGCAGCCAGGAGCGGGGCCCCACTGACCCTGCACACGTGGGGTTCCGGGGGCAAAGCTATCTCCTCTCACAGAAAACAACACACACATACATGCACACACANTCCTCCCAACCCTGAGCAGGGGGCCCAGGAACTGGTCACCGAAACAGCGACATTTTCCCACTGGGACAACCGGTGTCCACTGGGCTGTTTGGGAACAGGGGGCCCCTCTACCCGTGAGCTGGCTGCTGTGACCACCCCAGTTTTCTGAGTAGGAAACAGGCTGGGAGGGGTTGCTGATTTGGGGAGACCCCCACCCTGTCCTGCTCTGACCCCCAACACAACTCCCCACAGTCCTGCCTGCCCCTGCCTGGGAGTTGCCCCCATGCCAGAGCCTCCAGCCCCACCCTCAGCACCGGCCAGACCTCAGGAGGGGCGGCTGAGCCCTGAGGGGTTGTTCCTGCAGGAGGAGGGGCGGGAACAGGCGTCTAGCCCTGCCAGCTGCTGCCTGGGCGGAGGGTGGAGGGTGTGGGTGCAGATGGGGCCAAAGTCAGAGAGACCAGGTTGGAGCAGACCCATGGTCAGAAGTTTAAAATAGTCCCATTGGTCCACTTATCACAGACGATCCACCTTTCCTCATGGCTAGGGTCGTGGTTCTGCGAGAAATCTGTCCCCCCGATCCAAGATGGTTTAGGTCCACAATCAGCCTTGAGTTTATATTTTTACCGAGAGCCCTGTAGACGTCATTGCCTCCCGTCCCAATGCCCGGGTGACCCAGCACCATTTATTGAAAAGAACCCCTCCCTGCATGGCCCCCCTGCTTAAAATCGAGTCTGTGTGGCTTGTGGTGAGTGTGCATGTGTGTGTGGGTCCTCACTCTCTGTTCCACGGGCCTCTGCCACATGCCGACCACCCACCGCCCCACGGCTGCGGATCTGGGGCAATTCTCAATATAGGACAGCGAGAGTCTCGCGGCTCTGTCCTCCCGGTCATCTCCAGTATTCTCGGTCCTTCGCATTTTCTTACAAAACCCAGAGTCAGCCGGCCAACTCCACACACGAGCCTGCGGAGATTTTGAGGGGGGTTGCTTTGAATCTAAATGTCAATTTGGGGAAAACTGACACCTTCTTTCCTGTCGGGTCTTGCGACCCAGGAACCAGATGTATGTTTCCGTAGGTTCGCGTTTTCTGTCATTTCTCTCCGCAGGTTTTGTAGTTTTCTCTTTCAGCGCCTCCCACACCTTTCGTGAGATTTGCCCCCAGTTCGTTTTTTATGTTATTGTCAACGGTAGTTTGTAATGTATCTTCTTTGTGGCTGGAATATACAGAAACACTGACGTTGCATACAGCACTTTCACTCGATGCACGGATTGGCTCTAACACCTTGTAGATATTCATCGATTTTATGTTTTATGCACAGAAATTCACGTCCTTGGTGAAGCGTGACAGTTTTTTTGTTTTTAATTTTTTCTTAATTGTTACCCAAGGATATTTTTTCCATTGCTTTTCAGAGAGCATGGAAGGGGGAGAGAGAGAGAGAGAGAGAGGGAGGCATTGATGTGAGAGAGACATCGACTGGTTGCCTTCCACACGCACCCCAACCAGGGCTGGGGATCGGGCCTGCAACCGAGGTACGTCCTTGGCTGAACTCGAACCTGGGACCCTTCCGTCTGTGGGCCGACGCTCTAACCACTGCGCCAAACTGGCCGGGGTGAAGACCGGCAGTTTCATTTCTCCCCTCCCAAGCCCTCCTGACTCCGTGTCATTCCCTCGTCTTACAGAGCCGACGCCCAGCCTAGCGCCGGCGTCACGGGGCGCCTGGTGCATGACGCACGACACTACTTGTATTTTCCATTTCTTCTTTGGTCATTTTTGCTAAGCCGTGTTTTTCCAGGATCTTTCCGTTATGCTTAAGTTTGCAAACACACCGGCGTAGCCTCGTGCCCTCTCCGCAGCCTGCAGGCTCTGCCGCGATGTCGCCTCATGGCTTTCCCCTCACTCCCATGATCGGCACCTTCCCTCTTGTGTCTGGGATATGCCCAGTGGGGCTGGGTGTCGGGCGCCCAGGCGCTGTGCCCACCTCCCCCCC